GGGAGTATAGACACAAATACTTTTAATCGTTACAAATATGATTTCATGCCCGAAACTAAGAACAACGTTAGTGATGCGATTTCGGAGTTGCGTGCACGATTATCAGAGAGGCTAAGTTCCGGGCCATGACCACATGTATGGCCCTTATAATCCTCCCTGATCGCTTCGCTTGCGGATTCGACCTGTAAAGTGGGCCATCTATGTCGGTTCACTACATATCAGTGGCAATGACCGCTTACTGCTGTACTCTAGTACTGTTCTTGTCTGTTTCTCTCAATGCTTCTCAAGGTTTGTATGAACAAGTTTCTTCATTCTTAAGCGATTTTGGTTAACCGGCTTACCTTTTTATCCATTAGTAGTCAATTTGAGAAAGGAAGTATTGCCAGGAAATTTTGCATCATCTATTTTCTGCTTCTGATGAGTGGAAATATATTCTTGGAGACTACTGCTAACTTCCGAAAATTCCTTTCTCCTCTAATTTATAGCATTTTTAAAAGATTGCGTGTTCCCTGAATGATATGCTGTTCGCAGGATAGCGCATGACAAATTTGCAACGTTTCTTTTTATAGCGAGCTCATATGCACGTTTCCTTTTCAGATGTTTATTCATGTCGCTCTTTCATCACCTGAATACCGATTTCATTCGTCATAGAACAAGAGGAAGCGGAAAAAAATTTGTCTGCTTGCAATCTTGGTTAAAGATGAAACTACGCGAGATTGAATCCTCTCATAACAAATACACATTGCTGCTAAAATTTGACGTGGGCGTAATAATACTCCGGCATAGGCTGATAAGTTTTGAAGCAAAGTGTATGAAATTTGGAAACAAATCCTTGCTAGTAGTGAAAGATGTCCATAGGAGCGAAGTGTTTTAGTATGGAGTAGATCTCTCTTCGGGATTTGAACATGAACTTTTTATTTTGGGAAAAAGAGTAGTCGCTTTTGTTTGAACTAATAATTGCATTCCGCGAGCATCAGCATCGTCATGAAACAAATATAGGAAGACCACTAATGCTTGCGAGCTATCTCTCAGTCCTACAAAAACACAAACATTACAAGAATCTTTACTTGTTCATTGGGGAATTTGTCCGCTGACTCGGAACAATTCATATATGTAGAAATTTGTTGGTACTAAACTTTCCTAAATCAAGTTCTGAATTTAGACTTCATTGACTGCTTCACTTCTCACAGGAATGTGCGTGTAACTTGTGTGAAGCCAGCGGAGAAAAGGTAGATTCTTGTTTACCGTGTATAGTTAGAATTTTCAAAAGTTTAGCTCTATTTGTCATTTTGCCATTTAATTCAGATCTCTGTTATCTGCTTCTCAATGTGAGGAGCTGTGCCTCACATTGCCAAAAGTATGTAGAACGGCATTATTCGATGCAATTGAAAATACTTGCGAAATTTTTTCTTCTCCTCCGTTGCTTGGATTGGATCCAGACAAGAGCAGTGATTTTACCAATTATTCTATTATTGCAGTAAGCTAAGAAGGAAATTTAGGGCGTCGACAATATCGCGATGTTAACACTGTATCTGCAGATAAGTGAGCATGCTTTCTTTCATTTGAAATACTCAATCAATGAGTTCGTTTTTTAGCGAATATGAGTAGGATATGATATGGATGAGGTAGCGTATAAAATTTGGACAATGATTTTTAGGGAAAAATGCGCTCCTGCTCTGCAACCATCCATAGGATGCACTTATCTTA